CCGCCGCTGGGCATGGCCGCCGTGCCAGACGCTGCCGCCGCCGCCGCCGCCGCCGCGCCTCCGGGAGGGTTATGCGTTACGTACGTAAAGACGGCGGCGCCGCCGCTGCCACCACCGCCGCTCGTTGTGATAATCATGCTCGTACCGTCCCCACTCCCTAAAACGTTGGCGGCAGTGCTGCCGTATACAGTCCCTTGCGACCCTGAGCTGGCGCCGTCGCCACCGCTGACGCCGCCAATGTCCCCGCCGCCGCCGCCGCCGTCGCGCGTCTTCAGGACGGATGCTGGAGCTGCCCGCGACGGTGCCAGGATGCTAATTGGTACGACAGGTTCAGAGCTGGTGGGATCTATATCGCGTTCCTCGAAAGAGGCAAGCGGGTTGATCACCGTTGGTACGACAATGCTGATTCGCGTGACGGTGCCGTCCTTCTCGATCACGGAAGCGCTGTTGCCGCTCGCGTCTGTGAAGCGATAGAACACCTCTGGAAGTTCGACCACAGCGCGGCTGCGACCCGGGTTCTTAGCTTTAGAGTGTTTTGACTTTCCGCTGCTGCCGTTGCTCCCATCGCTGCTGTTGCTGTCACCGCGGTTGCTGACTGCCAAGAAGATGTTTGTTACATATTTCCCGCCAGGTTTAGGTTCGAAGCTGGATTTGCTGCACCAGAAATGTTTCCGTAGCGGCTTCAGCCGGGCAAAGGTGTAGCACGGGAGCTCCATCTATGAATTCCGTCCAAGAATAATCAGATACTATAAGCAGTCATACTATTTGAGGGATTTGTGTAGAAAAGGGGAAATGTCGCTGCGGCAAGGTGCTGGGCGGGGATTGGGTTTACGCGACTTCCAAAATACTATGCTGCTGCAATCTATGTAGTCAACAGTACTCTAATTATACTACTTTGCTGATCATCATAGAATTTGAGGTTGCTCTTGTGATTACGGAAAGTCAAGGCTTTCGCAACGACGGAGCCAACGGCAACCATGCGTAAGGCCCTCAAACACCCTTTCCGTCTTCCGGACTCTCCTGCGCCAAGGTTTCTGAGCAAGTCAACAATTATCACCGTGTGAGGCGTATGTTTCCTTTAATGATAACATACCTTGCACTTGTCGGCAGGCGGTTTTTATCTTTGCGATGGTATTCGGTTGAGCGGCCTACAACAAGAACTTAGCAACATAGGGCAGGCTCCTTACTGCCTCCGCTATTCAAGGCTGTCGGTAAAAGGTCTCTTTGTTATTACTACTTACTTCTTTGGAGCCAGTTTCTTTGGGTGAGTGATGCCAATATTGGCGCGAGATGCGCAGCACGCACGACGTGTGGTCTATATCGGTTTGGTTTTGTCCCGTTCCGCAGTCATTCCGTATCCATTTCTTTTGATGTCCATGTTTGGCGACGCCTGCAAGCGGTTAGCCGCTTTTGCGCGTCGTCCTGTGGCTTCGCATTTCCACGGTACCATCTCAACTTCCCAACGCCCACCTTGACCGATATCGCAAGGTCTACAACACGCATTATGCTATGACGATTCTGTACAATGGAACGCGGAGCTCGCGCGTCGGCCATCCAGTTTCGCGCGGCTTTTTCCTTGCATCCTTCTGTCCATGCCGCAACCGTCATTTCTCCCCCAAACCCCCAGAGTACACTTTTTCCCGTCCCCCCCTCTTATTCCCTCCCCTTGGTTGCAGAGCCGCTGCTGCTTCCCTGTGCCGTACAGAGCGCAAGATCGCATGGAATTACCGGGGCTTGCAGCTGGCCCCGGTGATCCAGCTGTTCAAAACACCTGCACCCGTCGACCTCGCGTAACACGAGCACGGCAAAAATCTACCCAAATTGAGCAACAGCAACAGCAGCAGCAACAGCAACAGCAAGATGGGCGGCGGAAGAAATCACGACGGGTGCAGCCACAGGCGGAACAGCTGCGAGGAACTCTGGAAGCCACGGCTGCGAGTCCGTTAGGCTATGCTGCAGCTGGCGGCACAGCCGACGGCGGCGGAAGCGGCGGCGACGGCGGCGGTTGTGGTTCTGCCCTTCGCGACAGCGGCAGATGTGACTTGAACGGCGGCGACATGGTGACCGCAGCCGTGGCGGAGCTGACGGTGGTGGCGGCGGCGACGGTGGTGGCGGGGGGGACGGCTGTGGCGGAGGCGACCGCGGTGGCGGAGGTGGCTGTACGAGGCAATCCGGCTGCTGCCACTGGCGGCGGCTGCCAGGCTTCAACAGCCGCAGCTGAAGGTGAACGGGAAGCCGGCAGCGGCCGCAGGTTTCGACAGCGGGTTGGCGGCGCCGCCAGCGAAAATGGCGACGGCGGCAACGGCAGCACTGGCGCTATGTTTGTGGTGGGAGCCGCGGCGGCGGCGGCGCCGCCGCCGCCGCCGAAAGAGATTGTTGGAGGCCAAGATGGAGCTGACGACACGGAATCGAACGACGGCAACGGTGGTGATGGGGTTGGAGCGAGATGTGCGGCAGCAGCTGGCGTGGCAGTAGCTGTCCGGCGCAGCAGCGACGGCGGTGCCGCCGCCGCCGCCGCCGCGCCGGACAGTGACGTTATAATGATATCTTCATCCTCCACGGCGGAGGCCGCCGGATACGGCAATGATGACGTCAGCGACGGCAATGGCGACGATGACGACGACTTCGTGGCTGAGGAGTTTCCGCCACCGCGGCGGCGACAGGCGGCGGCGGCGGCGGCGGCGAAGGGTCTCCGCGGACGTGGCGGCGGCGCTCAGGCCGCTGGCGGCGGAGCGAAGGCGAAGGCGAAGCCTGCTGCTCGGCGGAAGGCAGCCTCTGGTGCTCGTGCCGCCTCCGCCGCCTCCGCCGCCGCAGATCTCGCCATTGCTGATGGTGGCGGCTGTGAAGGTGGCGGCGGTGATGGTGGTGGCGGTGATGGTGGTGGCGGTAGCGTGGCCTTGGCGGCGGGGACTGTTGATGTTGCGGCTGCTGGTGTTGGTGTTGGTGGTACCGCTGCGCGAAAAAGGAAGAGCAGGCAGACCGTGCAATCGGCGGCGGAGACGGCGGTGCCAGCGGAGGAGGGGGGGAAGGCGAGGCGGCGGCGGACGAGGGCGGCGGTGGCGGCAGCGGCGGCGGCGTCTGGGGAGGAGGAAAGCCCGAAGCAGAAGCGGCGGAAGCCACAGTCGCAGAAGAAGAAAAAGGAAAAGGAGCAGCAGGAGGAAGAAGAAGACGAAGATGATGACGGCGACGATGAAGACGATGACGACGATGACTCGGATGTCGTACTGGTTTCGGAGGATGAGGAGAGTGAGGAGGTGCAGGAAGTGGAGCTTGTGGTTTCCGAGGACGAGGAGGAGGAGGAGGAGGCGGCAACTCGAGGACGGAAGCGCAGCAGGGCTAGCGGCGGCAGGCGAGGAGGAAGAGGAGGAGGCCGCGGCGGCGGCGGCGGCGGCAGCGGCAGCGGCGGCAGGGGCCGTGCGCGGGGGCGCGGCCGACGGCGGCAGAGTGCCACTGGCGGCGGCGAAGGTGTGGGAGGCCGGGAAAAAAACGATGATGTTGTACATTCACATCGCCATAACGCACCTCTTGGTAATTATATAATTTTGATTGATTGTCGTCTGCTGCGTGAAGTATGTGTCGTACAATCGTACAGGCGGCGAAAGGGTGTAAAAGAGGGAAGGGTGTAAAACCCTAAGTGCTCATACTTTCGTGGGGCCCTGATAGGACGTGGTGCCAATTTAGGCAACGTCCCCCTGTGGAAGCTTCTCGCCCGCATTTCACATCCGCCACCATTTCCTTTTCCTCTGTTCTTAATTCCTGATCCTTACTTCTTGACCTTTTTGACCTCTCCTTTTCCCCATCGTCCCCATCGTCTTCATCGTCCTCCTGCGTCGTGGCTTGTTTATTCTTTTCCGGGTTGTCTGGACGGTGATTTTGTAACCGCGGCGGCGGCGGCGGCGGCGGCGGTGGTGATCTTGTTGTGAGAAGAAGGCGGCGACGGCGGCGACGGTGATGCTGCTGCTGCGGCGGCGGCGGCGGCGGTCGACGACAACGATGTCGACGACGACGATGACGACAGGCGCTGGGGCCCCTGGGTGGAGGACGATGTCGACGCCGACGCCTCCCTGGATGCCGCCGCCAACCACGCCCGGGACATGCGCGATCCGCCGCCGGAGCTGCTGATGCCGCTGCTGCCGTACCAGAAGCAATTCTTGGCGTGGGCCGTACGACAGGTGAGAAGGCAGCGAAAAAAGAACTCGGGCTCCATGGCTGCCTGTTTAGGCCTCTAAAACCGAACCAAGCCTTTTGCTGATCCCGCTGATGGATCCTGCGATCACTGCTGTTGCTGCTTTGCTGCTGTTGCTACTGCAACTGCTGCTACCACCACAACCACCATCACTGCACCAAACACCGCAACCACCACAACCACCATAACCACCACAACCATAACTATAACCACCACCTCAGGAACAAAGATCAGTGCG